GAAAGAAAAAATATTTATACATACCAAGAAGTTAGTGAATACCTCTAAAGAACCAAATGTTATAATTAGGAACCCGCTGCACTTAGAACTATTCTACAAATAAGCATCTCAAATCTAGCCTAGTCTTTCCAGAGAAAACAAAGGTCAATAGGCTTCTTTGAGGATTAGCAAACCAGAATTTCTTGGACCAAGGTACTAATTACTTCCAAAGCTGAGGGTGATTGCTACTTCCAAATCCAAATTATTGCCAAAACCTCATGATAAACCTCAGTAGTACTCCCCTCTAGCCTAACTTTTGAATTAAGATACTTCTAGGCTGGACTCGAAGGATAAAAAGCCTAATCTGAAGGGCAGGCAGGGTAACAGTGGGAATATTCTGCTTGTGGAAAGCTGCGCTTCTGCATAGCCTGATAGGAAGTCATTGAAGCCTTCCCAGGTCCCCAGCAGCAATTTGGGCTCAACCAGGGTAAAGTGGAAACAAGTGCAGCTCTGAGAACCCAGAAGCGTGTGTGACTTGCTGCTCCATACCTGGGTAGCAGTGTCCTGCATTGCTTGTGTGCTTGTAAGGTGGGGTCCCAGACTTCTTGCTTACGGTTGTCTGACAGCAAAGGGATGAGGACTGGGCTCACTGTTATAAGCTGCCTAGTTGGAAAGACTTATCCACATGGTTTTTAAGGGTTTTCACATATCCACTGCTGTGCTTGAGGATTCACTCGTATGTATATTCACTTGTATGTTGTAACCACACTGGCTGTGAATTTGGTAGTGTCCTGAGAGACCACAGTTTTCATCTCAGATGGAAGAGGTGGACAGAAGTATCATTTTTGTGAGGTCTAGGCATAAGGCAAAAAGATGGTACCACTGGGAGAGAGGGGAGAAGGGTCAGAGTTAAATATGTCAGCGGTTCATTTCTATGTGCAGCCTACTGACTTCCTTGTGCAATTTCAGGGAACTTCGAAGTGGGTGTTCACATCGCGGATGTAAGCTACTTTGTACTGGAAGAAACAGCACTGGATAAAGTAGCGAGCGAAAGAGCAACTAGTGTCTATCTAGTGCAAAAGGTAAGGACAACTTTTTCCTTTTTTGTCTGACAGCTGTGTCTTCCGTTTACCATAAATTCATTTTTATGGTTCATTTTCAGATGCCAGCAATCAAAATCTGGCTATTATTGCAGCAAACCTACAAAAATGAGTAAATTGATGCAAACGCAAGAGCTAACATAGCTGCTGACTACCTCGGAGCTTATGGAGGGAGCATGGGGTGAAGCAGCAGTTCATGACCCTGTGTCTGTGGGCAGAGACCTGGGTGTGCCAGGGCTTGCTAGCTCAGGAGCAGCTCTGTGTGAACTTGACTCTGCTGATCTGGAGCTAGTTCAGAGCCCAGAGCTGCATATCCACATTTGCACCATGCTGAGACTGAGATAAGCCTGACAAACCCAAGCTGGCTTGTCTGTTTTGCTGTTGCAGGCTTGAAATTTGCAGGTGTGGTGGTGGTGGAGAGTTTTATTTTTGTCTTCAGTGCAGTAGTAGTAACTAATCCCTCCCAGAAGTAGATGCATAGCAGAGTAGGGTGTAAAACACCCTGTGCAATCTCACATTTTGAGGCGCAACAGTATTTAATGACTTTTCTTTTATCTGGGTATCCTAAATACTGGAAAAATTTGTTCTTCCATCATGCAGTGAAAAGATACTTGAAATTGTACAGATTTTAGTGTAACCGAATGAAATGTTAAAGTCAAGTTTAAAGTTGACTTCTAAACTTAAAACATGAACAGGCTCAAGTTTAACATTATTGGAAAGGAAACATCTAGGTTTTGTCTGCGCCTGTCTCATTTTCAGTTGAATGTGCAGAAACATTTCCTAGCTCATCAGATACTGCCGGCATTGTGCATGCAGGGAAGCCGGGAAGCTTGGCTGTTAGCATCCTGTGTCAGCCTGAAGCATCAGCTGCATGAAGAGGAGTGCTGAGGCAGTCTCATACGAGCGGATTAATCTGCCTCTTCTCACACTCCTATTCAGTCGGGCTGATGTCCTTGTCTCCGTAGCCTTTTCTGGGTTGACAGGGCATCTTTTGTATGATAATAAACATATCCTACTTGCTACTTAGGATTAGGAGTGATTCTTCCCCTCCCTGCATGGATGTTCCCAGGGTTGCTATCCGGGGAGGGTCTTGTAATGATGCTTGTTCCAATAGCTTACTGCGTCCTCTCCACACTTTCCAGATGATAAAATGATTTATTTTACACAATTGAAATCAAATTAGCGGTTTGATATCAAGCTGCTAACTTTTAGTAGCTCTTCCGTAACTTTCCTTGGGTAGAAATAGCTTCAGAAGCACAGCACAGCTCTAGGTGGGTCTCAGTGAGTCTGGTGGATTTTTACGTCTCTGTGGGTATGGGTTGCGTGGAATAGCCATGACAGCAATGCAGAAGTGCCCAAGCTGAGTCGGTGGTAGCGAGGCCAACAGCACACAGGTGCTGCAGTGTGGGACCAACTTAGCAGTGACTTGCCATTCTCCAGGAGGGGGAAGCAATGTGTATCTCCTGGAAACAGCAGTTCTGGCACCAGAGTCTTCCCAATCCTACAGTCTCTCCAGTGATAAGCCCTTGGCTTCTGCGGTGCTCTGCTTCCACCTCTGATGGATGACTTAACGGCCGTAGCTCGCTATGGGAGATTCTATGTGGGCTGGCCCAGGGGGGATGTCACTGCAGGGCAGCAAAGCTGTAGTCCAGGAAGATGTTGTAGCAGTATTTCCAAGTCAAAATACTGTGGTTTGAAGGCATGTGATTGTTTTTAAAGGGAGAAGGAAGATTTTTATATAGAAAGGAGACATGTTTCATGAAATCTAGTTGAATTCAAAAGCTAATTGAATTTTCTTTCAAAGCACTTTTTCCCCCCCAGCACTACCAGTCAGTGACGTGTGATGCCAACATTGTTGCCCATAATCTTCAATTGCTCTTCAGCTACCTTTGCCCAGCTGTCAGGATGAGTGTTTTATGCTTCTGCCCTGCAGAAAATATATTTTAAGAGTGCAAACAGGTTAGATGATGAAACGGTCAATATTTTAATTGTCAGCGATGAAAAGGAGAGAGGGGATGGGCAAAGGAAAGCAGCCAGGCTGTCTGAAACAAGATGGTAGCATGACTCTTGTAGAAAATATGCTTTCCTTTGATGGAACTGATTCCTAAGACAGCTGTGATTCTGCTAGAGGTTAGCACCATGCTAATCCTCCCAAAGAAGTTAAATAAAGCCACATATTTAATTTTCCTGAACCATGTACCCAGAAGGGGAGGTATTGTGTAATTGCTAGCAGTCTATTTAATAAAAGTGAAAAGTTTTTGAAATAAGAGTGTATCAGGTTTTAAGAAGCAAGAAAACCTAAACAGTGTCCTCTTTTTTGGCACATCTTACAGTGTTATTTTAGGTGTGAAGCAGCTCAAGTGAGAGGTCAGCCATAAATCCCTGTAATATTTTACTGGTCCTATTTTATACTGGAGATCAAAGATCGGAACCGTAAGCCTATCTTCATGTTGAGTCCAAGGACTTCGAGACATTCACTTTTGACACCAGCAGGTCGTCAGGGTGTTGATATTTTGATAATCTCAGGCTGGGTAACAAAGAGTTGCTCGAAATTTGAATTCATGGAAGTGTTGATACAACTCTTGAGCAGAAATCTTGGCTCACAAACAAATTGCCTATTTCCTTTGAGTGTCTTTTAGTGTGTAAGCAAGAGGCTTGCTGAGCCCACCCTGTTGTTGGACCTCAGCATCCTCCTCCCAGCTCTGGGGAGAGCAGCTGATGGAAACTCTCAGTTAATACAATCCCTCCCCATTGGACCGGCGGTGGAAGAAGGGGTCACCCCGGGAGTCAGCAGTGGTCGTAACCAACCCGAACCAAGCCTGAGTGGGCAGCCAAAGCAGGGTGCCAGCAGAATGGGGTTGTTTGAAGGGAGCAAAACTGCCCATGTGACTTTGTGAAAATAAGGGGTTATTCTTAACCAGAGTTTGTTCCCTTTTCCCTTTGGTTGACTGATCGATTTTCCCCTTCTGTTCCTTGAAAAGCTGCTACAGCAAGTCCATTGATGAGAGCTGCCCTGGCTAACCCACTCTGAACCTGGCCGGTGAGTCAGTCCTGGCTGCAGCAGATGTTTCTGATTTTAAAGGGAACGACGAGGTTTATCATCGCAGTATGTGTGTGCTCCCTCCCACTGCCCGTCTCCCTAGGAATGAGTCTGAGGCTAGAAACTCGCATTTGGTTTCTGGAAGCACTATATTAGCCAAAGAGGCAAAACAAAACAAAACAAAACAACGGCCTCTCACAAGCAGGAGGTTAGATCTTCCCATGTCCGAAGTGATTCCACCATGCAGAGGAGCCAGCTGCTAAGCAGTGTGGCCGGCCACGGTTACAGGTCCATGTGTTTTGTAACCCTGGGACCACGATGTGTAGGAAACCCCGCAGCCCTGGCAGTGCCTTCTCTTACTCTGGTTTGCCCTTGCTGCCCACGGCTTTGCCATGCCGGGGCATGTGGCTGCCTGCAGGGAGAGCCGATAGCGTGGAGCGGGGGCTGTCAGGCCGTGCTGGGAGCACTAAGTCTCAAGCCATGTACAGTAGCGCTGGAGATTTCGCATGTAGGACTTGGAAGTAGGGAGAGAGAAATCCTCTGTCTGTAATTTGATTTGAAATGCAGACCCACAGCTGTGAGCATTGTGGATAGTCTTTCGCTCAAAGAAGTGCCCTTTCCAGTATCTCTTGGGCCCTGCTAGACTTGTGGGGAGAGATGATGTCTTTTATTAGTTTGACTGATAGAGGGGGATGAAAACCAGACAAGCGCTCACCTTTCTTCAGCCCTGGTTTCTGTGATACATTCATTAGAAAGTATTTCCTGGGGGACATAGGTCCTTTTTTTCATTGTGAAAGTTTTTTCCCTAGCCCTGCTGGGTCGCTCCAACTGCATTTCTAGATTTAACTACATTTATACACACCCCTGTGGCAGCTTTATGATCCCTGTGTAAGCCCAGGTGACTTTATTTCCACCTGCAGTAAAACCAAGCTGAATGATGTGATCCCCAACATAGGCACATCCTTAGCAATTTGCTAAGGAAACCGCTTCATGCTGGAGGTGATATCGCTGGGCAGTGTTTCAGCTAGCTGGATTTCTGCGTGCCGTGGCACTCCACAGGGCAGCCGGCAGACGCCCCTGTCTCTTGGCAGACAGTCACGGGAAGGGCAAAGCATTTAAAAGATGCCGGGCAACCTCTGGATTATTTGAGGCGACGCTACGCAACCCTGATACTTTGCAAATCTGGGCATTAAAGACGTACTTAGGGAAATCTCCTCTCATCCTGCGTCTCCTTCAGAAAGAGATGGAGATAATCCTATTGCACAAGTTCCTTCTGGGCAGCCCCTGGGATAACTCCTGAAACATCTCGCTCTCCAAGTGTGACACAAGTGTGACATTTTTGTATGTTAAATGCTGGGCTTGCAACTACTAAGAATCCTTTCAGCCTGTGACTATCATGTTAAGGGAGAAGGAAATGTGTATTTATAACTTAACCTTCTGTGCTTTGTGACAGTTGGTTTATTCTCTGTGTAGTGTGTGAAGAGGAATCATGATGTTAAAGCAAAGGGAGGCAGTTAGCCAAGACTGTCGTGATGCTGAAAACAGGTTTCTTCTTTTAATTCAGTAAGGTAGATAAAATTGAAATACCTTCAATGCAAGGTCACATTGTCTTATGTTATGCATGTATTTGCTGAGCCCAGGAGAAGGTTGATTGAATTCTTGCTCTCCTGTGAGGCTTCCTCCATGGCTTGGGTTAAGTTACTTTGCCTAAAGTTTCGCTCCTGTAAAACAAGGGTAACGTGGGTTGATGCTTCCCTATTTTGATGCTAGGTTTGTTACAGCTAATTGCTTGGTGAGTGTTTAGTGCTGTAATTATGATCTGAGTTAAAGCTTTGCTTGTGTTTCACATCATTGAAAGCCCTTCCATAGAATTATAGCCTCTCGAATCAGATATTAATCCTGCTCAAGTACACTTAAAACAAGCATCCTGTTGTTTCGTTCAGGCTATTCTTCGTGGATGGGCTTTCATGTTTCATGTAGGCATTTTTCTAGCAGACTGTAATAAAGAGGGTGTGCTAAGGCACAAAAATATTCAGTAAGTACAGACCATTATCAGATAATCAATCACAGAGTGGGGGAGAGAGAGGAAAGCTAGTAACTGCAGCTTTTAATTTGGGTGGAAAAGGGCATGGGAGCTTTTATTAAATTACTAGCACTTTGTTCACTGCCACCTGAACTTCAGGGTCTCACAGTGGTCATGGGTGATCTTAGGCAGGCAGGGATTCCGATAGCCTTTAAAGCTATTCTCTCTCCTTTCTGGTATGGGTTGGCACCGCTTATGCTAAATTTATAACCTTTTGGTGTGGGTCCTTCCAGGCAGCATGGCAGAGCTCACGTACTGGATCTGTGAGTTATGAATGTACCAGTATTGTTAATGTACTGTTCACAACTGGAATAACAGAGTTGACGGCCTTTGTGTTGCGGGAAACAGCTTATCATAATCTGTGCCCTTGTGACCTTCCAGCTGAACCAGTCCTGCTGATTCATGTTGCAAGTGACTCCTTGACAGTCACAGACCGTACAGTTAACCTTTTGGCATTAATATGCACTGCAATTAGAATGGATTTATAGCCATTGTCTGGTGCCAAACCACAAATGTGATTAAATATTTCAAGAGTCTTTCCTTCAAAGCAAAAGGTAAATATGAAGTGTGTGCATTTGAGGAGAAAATGGACATCTGAGACTGGTTTTTTTTCTTACTGTTTTAAAGAACGGTTGTTCCCCTGGCATCCAGGTAGAAAAAGTTATCTCTGAAATCACCAAATCAGTGTCACAGAGTTTGGAAGAGCTGGGGTTTGCATGCCAGTTGGCTTGCTGCTGGTCCTATATTTACAGGGTGGCACACAGAGCAATCAAAACGGAAACTAAATTAAATAGCTAAAATATTTTATGGCAACCAAGTAGAGCATTTCTCTCTTTTTCTGGAATGCACCAGCCCACATTGCCACTCAAAATAAACATGAGGAATAACGTGGTTCTTCTTTGAGGGCAGTTATTACTGCTTCTTCACAAAGGTAAATAATCAGAAGAGAACTAAGAATGTGAAACTCTAATAATTAGATTTGCTTCATTAAACAGCTCCTAAATATTATCTTTACTGCAGACTTCACCTGGGAAATAGCTCAGGGGTGGTAGAAACACTTGGAGCTGCTCGGGTTTGGTCTGGTGTGAATATGCTCCAAAACTTTTGCTTTGTTGCTGTAGTCAGGTGAGTAATTAATGGTTTGGTAATTCAGTGTTCAGCAGCAGAAATATTGATTAGTTGGAATGAATTAGGAAACAGGTTAAAAAATCGCTGCCAGAAATTTCTGTTGGCTGACATTTTGTTCAAACAGAGTTGAGTATAGTAAAATAATAATTGTTCTCCCTCTGTTTGCAAACACCATGTTTAATAGCCATAAAACAGGTGCTTTTGTTTATCTCACCAACATCTACACATTCCTGTCTGTGCTACAAAGCACGGCTCAATCTTTATTAAAGCCATGCACCACTCCTGTGATGCTTAGGAGAAGTTTAATTTATGCTTTGAAGGGAGCAGACTTGCCTTACTTGCCTGGTTACACAGTCTTCAGTGGCAAAGCAAGAAACACAGTTCCCAAATCCTAGCTCTTCAGCTCCTGGCTGCCAGAACCGTGTTTCTTCAACATCAAGTTTCCTGATGTGCTGAGCCTTCCTCATTCTTCCCAGTGTCAAACTGGCAGTGGGAAAGAAGTGGAAAACAGAGTAAACGTTGTGACCTTAAAAGCTGCAGAGTGAAGTGTTTGCATAACTGAGGATGCAGGACGCTCCAGGGTGCTTAATCCATACCTCAGAGTGGAGCGCTGGGAATGATTCACAGGTGGGAGACTGACAGCTCCCTCTGGTCTCTTTGAGGGACAGGGCTGATGTGAGTGTTGGTGGCCTCAGCAGTGTCTAACTTCCTCTCCTTTCAGAGGATTTTGATTACTTACTCCATGCTGGCATGCTGTTTGCCATGTAATGTACCTCTGGCATGGGTAATGCATCCCAGAGCTATGATGTAGCCACTCCTGCCACAAAGAATGTGATCCTGAAGGTTTAACGCATTTTCTCTTTTTGTGCATTGGTGAGCCTCTCTTTTACCAGCTGGTTAGGGAAGCTTGGCCACAGACAGGTCTCTACTAAAAGCCCATATCTCACTGAGGTGCTCTCCTCTTCTCTTCCAGGTGATCCCGATGCTTCCCAAGCTGCTCTGTGAGGAGTTATGCAGTCTCAATCCCATGCGAGATAGGCTGACATTCTCCGTGATGTGGAATATGACTCCAGAAGGCAAGGTACCTCGAGCAGTGGGCAGTCATCCTGCTAATCAGTCCTCCCTCGGTGGCCAGACCCCTACTCTTGCAAACAGAGTGGTAAAAATGCCATCCCTTAACACCCAGGTGGATAGCAAAGGACTTGCTGGTGAACAATACTGGAGGATGTAGAACTGTCCCTGTATCTTGTTTCACTGATGAGATACTGTGGAACTTCCAACTGGAATAACCTCACAACATGGTGCAGAAAGGAAGAATATTTGTATGAATCTCAGGAACGGAGCATTTCCTTGCTCCTTGCCATTTCCTTGCCAGGTCACCCATCCATTTAATGTCTTGCCTCCAGCAGCAGCTCACAGCTAATGCTGTGGGTGGGACAAGATGTTTCCTCATTACGCCAAGGCCGCTTTGTGCTCATAGGCAGTTGTGCAATGCACTGGATGAGGGCAGTATCCCTCTGTGGCCTCTCTGGTAAACAGACTATTACATTCTTCTTCAGAGCTGCAAATTATATTGATCCAAATAAAGCGTGATAGCTCTTCAGCAAAGGCACAGCTCCATCCTCTGCATGTGTTATTTCCAGGGAGCAGTTGTGGAGGCTGTCTGTCAGTGCAGCAACCTGCCTTCAGCTGCTTGCCAGCAATCCCCAGGTCTTCATTTCTCTCCCTGTTCCTCTCCCACACACTTTGTAACCCTAACAGTCTCCCCTTTGGTGATCACAGGGTCTCCTCGCTAATCAAGGAGGGCTAAAGACTGCCACTACCAGAGGACTCTCCGATCTATGTGAAGTACACTTTTTGTACTCAGAATTTTTTTTTAACCAGTCTTATGCTCATGCACAACTCTCTCTGTGGAGAGTATTTCTTGTGCCAATTTGGTAATTTTTCACAAAGATTGACTTTACTTCCTTATTATTGTCCTTGCTGCTGTAAAGGATACTGCATCTTGTTTTGTGCTTTAGCAAAATATAGTTGCAGTCGTATATCTGTATTTCTCCAGCGAGTCCCTGCTCTGGCACTGAGATGGGTTTTATTTGTTTGTTGTGAAAAGCGCTCTACTTCCTACAAGCGACAGCATGATTACTCATGGGACCTTCTAATAGTAGCTACTTGGTGGGCCTTTTATTGACTCTGAGTGGTCTTTGAACAGCTAATCGTCAAGTCTTAATTAAAATAAGCTTTTAATTAAATCTTGTCTCTTGTCCCCTGCATTATATACATTATTTGCTTTTCAAACAGTGTTCAGACCAACCCTGTCTGTCCAGTGAGAAAACAGAGGAGCTGCAGCATCTGCCTTACACCCACTCAGGGAGCTGATCTGTGCAGGAGCGGTGGTCTGGGCCATGACCATGCTGCCCCTTGGAAAGCAGACTGCCTACAGCCATCTCAGCAAACTGGTTTCTCCTAGGAGGTCTTTCAGGACTGCAGCCTTAATCGAGGTCACTTGATTTGCATATCAGGTGAAGGCTGGAGAAGAATTTACTCCCTCCAAGAGGAAAAGTGGTTGTAGGGCTTTTGCCCAGCAGGGCATTCTTTCTTGTAAGAGCTTATCTTGTGAGTTGGGACAGCATGCGTCTCCTGTATTTCTAGGTGTTATTATAGCTTTGTCTCAGTCTAAACAGGATCACATGCTCTCCCAGGCTCTGCTGGGTGAAAGGGAGGTGAGTCAAAGGCCCCAGCACAGCCTTTGAACCTCAGCTGGTGGTGGAGAGCCATGAGAGCACTGACATTGAGGACAGGACATTTTTCAGTGAGGGATGCATGATGCTGAAGAGCACTTCGTTGCACCGTGTGTGCACGGCAGGATTGTAACCTTGAGCTTGCAAAGCAGAGCCCAACAGCACTACTGGAGGTGAGAGCTGCTCTGAGCTCCCACTGTTACTGCTCCAAAGCAAATAAGTCTGGAGCTAATGCATCTCCCAAGGAAAAGCCACGCAGGTTCCTCACTTGAATGTGACTATTGATAAGTTGTTGGGGTTTTTAATTCTTGTTTCTTTTAGAAAAATAATGCCAGGCTCTGCCCTTTCTGGGAGACAGGCACTTTCTTGTTTCTGTTGCTTTTGGGTTCTGGAGTTTTATCTTCTAATTTTCCATGAGTGTAATAAAATGTTGCCTGGGTAGCACTCCACATAGCTCCATGGACTCCAGTGGGATAGTGTGACATGATGTATCTGAGATGACTTTCCAAGGGCAGAGGCGTTAACCATATTGTTGCACATGTGCTGTTCTTCAGAAGCAGAGCTGGGCGTTCATAGGAACAATGTAGCACGTTCTTGTTCGGATGCAGTCAACAGAAAGATATTTGAAAACAAACGATGCAACTCTCCTTTCTTAAGTTATTGCCTGCTGCTGTTCGAAGCACAGCTCTGCTGTTTCCTTCTACCAGTGAGGAAGAGAAAGTGCTTCAGTCTGATGTGTCTTCCAGACTCAAAACTGCTGTTGTCAGCCAGGACGTGATATGGACACTATCTTGCATGGAAGAAAGTCCTCAGCCTCCTGCACAGCTATGTCACACCCTCAGGGAGACCCGTTCCACCAGGAGCTGTGCTAATGGGAGGGTTTCAGCTGAGCCACCCTGACTGCCATCACATGATGTGCTGGGGACCACAGCTTTTTCTCAAAAGCAGCCAGAGCTGGGGGAAGCCTTAACGTAACCCTAGAAATGTCTCAGATACTGGTACACTGTCTGGAGTCTGGGTGCACCAGGTTTGCTGTGATGGGGGAGACCTTGCAGACCAGTCTTGTGGGCTACTCGTCGTAATCTCCAAGTCCCAGCTCACAGCCCCCAAATGTTGCTCCTCCGCACTGCTTTGCCCATCCATCAGCCACTGGTACGTGGGCCGGCCAGCCTTGTATGGCTTTCCCCCCAGAGGCAGAGCTTGCCCATTCCTTTGGTGGGGTTTCCAAACCAGGGGTGCAAGGCTGTGGTTACCCAAAGTCTGCTTGGATGGCCACTGAGGACAGAGGTGGAGGGCATTTCCGGGAAATACTTGGACAGTGGGTAGAGTTAAGTTAGCCTGCCGCAGCGAGGCTAAGTCTGGCAGCTCTGCTCACTACACACAGGGATTACTGGACTGCACGGGGCAAGATGTGTCCAAACTCCATTCCTTGCCTACATGACATGTGTTTAATGCATCCAGGCAATCTTGGTGAGAAGGTGTTTATTGGGTACGTTAATAAGAGCTCTCTCAGGGTTGTCACTGTCCAGTTTACACCTGTTAGAGCCATTGCAGGGATGGAAATTGGGCGCTCTGCATCATGCTGCTTGGTTGCCTTTAAGAGACCAAGAACAGAAAAAGGAATTGAGGAAACAGAGAAGTAAAAGAAGTTTAATATCTGCTAGTAATGGGCTGCTTGTTCTGACGCTTTGCCCTGAATGTAGCCTGCCTGAGATTTGACATTCTAGTTATATTCTGGGGGCCCAATATGCTGCATCTCTCATCTTACAAGGAAGTGAGCGGAGCTCTGAAATATTTGGCCTCTTCTAAGCAAGCAGAAAAATGAGATTTTGTTGAAAGCTTCAAGTTCAGACAGCAAAGTGGAAATCCGGTCTGTTGCCTCCTGCAAGGGACAGAGAGAGCTCTTGGAAGCCCATGGCAGAAAGCACCATGTAGCCTCAGAGCTGGATTTCATCCGTAACCTGGGGACTGGGGAAAGTGCTGCTCTTCAGAATTACCCTTCTGGTTTGTGCCCAGTCCTTAAACCTTTTCAACATACATGTACATGATGGAATTGACTCACCTACTTTATAAAGCAAAATGAGAGTGCTTCCCAAACACAAAATATTTCGGGATAATATAACAGTGAGGGCCAGAATGGATAATGACCTTTGATGCCAAAATTAATAGCTGGAGATGGAGAAACTAGCAGGGAAATAGAAGTAGCGTCTGAAAACATTTGAACAGCGAGTTGAAAGAGCTGCCGATTACAACTGGAGGGTCTGTAGAAGTGCTCAACTGAAATGAAGGCTGCTCAGCCTTGCTCCCGGATCATTTCAACACAGAACACTTTTTTGGTGCCTGAGTACCATTCATGTCTTACTGAAGTCTGAAGTATCTCTTTTGCCAACTGGCTAATAGTCTTCAGCTTGCTGGAAGTGGATCATTTAAAGAGCAGTGCAGCCTCTTCCACACCAGAGATCGCACTTGCTTAATATCAGGAGTTTTTTTGGGTCCAGCAGATTACATCAGATATCACTGACCTGCCAGATATGGACCCCTCATCACCACAAGAAACTGAACCACATTTAACGGGATGCAGCAGAGCGCAGAGCAGGTGCTGCCAGTGCTGTCACAGCACCTCTGTCCAGCTTTGTGACTTTCTCTTCCTTTCTTTCTCTGTGGCGTAGAGAAAGGGGCACACACAGAATAACCATGAGCCAAGGGTGGGACCACTTTACATTGCAAGACATCACTTGCTGCATCTCTGCTATTAGGACACTTTCTAATTAGAACTGAGCTTAAATGCCCTGTGACTTTCAGAGCTCTGAGCTGCTGAGTTATACTGCACATATGTTCTGTGGGGCATAAGGGAGGGAGGCAGCAAAGGTATCTTGGGGATCAATCCTTTCCTGTTAAGAAGAGGGTTTGCCTTTCTCAAGCAATATCCTTGATGAGTCTGTCATAGAGAATGCTGGCTGTTCTCCCTGGACACCGTCACTTGCAGAATTTACCTTGTCCTGTTGTGCTGATAAAGGGGTAAGGTGGGACTTGTAGCTAAGGCAGAATTACAATTCTCCATTCATTCTGTGAGCACTTGTGCTTTGAATGGTTTTATCACAGACTGCGTCCGTCTCCAGAGCCCTCATGCCAATGCTCTTGACTTTTCTGAAGAGCCTTCTGCCCTTTGTCCCTCTGCACTTTCTCACTGGCTTGATGAACTTTTGGACTCTCTTATATATCTCAGCTGAAAACAGATTTTCCTTTCTGCTTTAAGAAATAATTCTGAATTGCTACTTCTGCATCGGTATTCTGCTACAGAGTTTAAAATGGGAGTGGCTTCTGGTTTAAAATAAAAGAATTTTATAGGCAATTTATAGTTTATTTTCCTCTAGCTTCCAACATAGTTTGGAAGCTCAGAAAGGTTCCTGGCTTGAGTTTGGGCTTAGGACTATAGGCATGATCAAAGAAACAAGGGGTCAGTGACTGGCTATCTCTCCTCCAGACCCACCAAAGTCCTACTCAGGCACTTTCATAAGTGCTAGTCAGACATTGGGGTCCCTGCAGTACTCCTGAAAACAGAGTATTTTAGGGCCAGTCCCTGGTGCCCTGCTGGCCACATATTAATCAAAGAGGTGGAATGCAATCTGCTGTGTTTTAGATAGGAGATCCTTCTTTGCATGTGTGTATCTGCCTGCACCCAGTAACCTTTGAGTCACCTGACTGATTTCAACTCCCAGCGGGGCTGTAGCTCTTATGAGCTCTATGAAAGAGGGGACTCAGGTAGAGGAGAGAGGTCCAAGCAGTTCCTATGTGATGGAAAGACTTTATTATGCATATACACATTATTAGACACTGGAGAATCTATATGGGCAAAAGGTCTTCTGGTGGCCTCAGTATACGAAGATCTTCACTTGAAGTTCACAGTCAGTGATGAGGTCTGGTGTCATTCCTTCCAGTGTTTGTACAACTTCCCAAGCTTTTGTGCACTGGAAGAATAAGTCCTCAGATCTATTTTCGCTTTCCAATTCTGCAGATCCTTGATGAATGGTTTGGGCGGACGGTCATCTGCTCCTGCGTGAAGCTAAGCTACGACCATGCACAGAGTATGATTGAAAGCCCCGGGAAGGTGTTCTCACCTGAAGAACTTCCCCCTGTCTCCCCTCAACACTCAATAGCTGAGATCCAGCAAGCTGTGCTGAACCTGCATCGAATCGCCCAGCACCTCCGCAAACAGCGCTTCATCGATGGTGCTCTGCGCTTAGACCAGGTGAGTAAATCCAGCCTCTGTAAGGGGCTCCCGCTCCAGTGAAGCAATTTCACATTATACTCCCTAAGGATTTCCTGATCAGTCTAAAAACTCAAAGTGGACAGTCAGGCTGGAATAGAAAGGCAGGTTTGTGTGCCAGTGTCTTCTTAAAAGCGGCATCAAATTATGTACCAAAAGCACTAAGTACAGTAGGATCAAAAGAAAAAAGTTCTTGTTTTTTAAGGAGTGATCCATCTTCCAACATTTCTCAAAATCCTAAACCTGTGGTGGAGTGGGTAAGTAACTTACACAGTGCAACAAATCACGATGGTGTCATTCATTATCAAGCAGTTCAGATATCCTCAGTGCACATTTCACTGTGAAAGGCTCATCCTTGACATTTATTTCTGTGCTTGCAATACTCACTTTTTCTACAGCTTTCATAGCAGTTCTTTGGGCAGGGAAAATGACTAAATATTATCTAAGCTAATAATTATAAGTGTTGGGTGTGTTTCAGAGAAAGAAGTGCTAGTGTGGAGGTTTTCTGTCTGGGGTGATTTAAATAATCTTGTATCAGTTGTGGTATGTGTCATTTCTCTTTCACAAGTAGATCCAGATATTTTAGACAATCACAGCAAAAATACTTTTGCATTTGAGGTTCAACTGCTCTGAGGTGCCTTCTGACAGTTTTTGTGGATAGGAGGTTCCAGTAATGGGTAGAACCCAGTGGCCTTCCTGAGGCAGGAGGTAAAATAATCTCTTAATATAAGGAAGCTCCATTGTTTCATTTTGCAAAATGACCATGAGTCAACATAAGGATATTGCTGAGAAAGAAACTAGCGTACTGAGATATGTAAACAGGACTGTTGTATGTAAGAGGTATGTTGTAACCCTTCCATTTTACTTGGAGTTGTGGTGTTGTCTCCAGTTGCAGGGAAGTCTAATTTTAGAGAGATCACTGCAGAGCAAAAGAGCAATGAGTGTCTGTAATCTGCGACCTTCCCCGACAGAGCACGTGGCTTAGTCTGGCAAAGTTGTGAAGAGGAGGCAATGTTCTGTTCCCCATGTCTAAGATGGAGAAGATGAGGCATCTGTATCTTGAATTTCAGTAGAGGAGATTGGGGTTGTACTTTAGGATAAACTTTCTGGTGTAGGAACTGTGGTGTCTAAGGCTATCTTGCCTACATCTGTTGTAGGGGACTTAGAGGACTGGTTAGGCACACATAAGTGAGCCTGGAGCAAGGGCATTTCCTCAAGGTCCCTGCTTGCTCAAAGGAAATAATAATTCTTAAAATTGTATTAAAGTAATTTTTGGAAATCAGACTCCCACTTTGAAGTCCTGCAGAGTTTGCTTAAACCTTTTTTGGAACAGAAGCTTCCTTCTGGCATTTATTGTACAATGGCTAATAAGCTGGGCTTTTGTTCCCAAGCGCACTCTGAATGATAGAGAAACATAAAAAACCCCAACCTTTGCACCTGATGAGCTAACTGGGAAGCCTTGGAGATATCTGGGTTGGAACAGCAGTCCACAGTGACTGGAAGCTGTGGCCCAGAAAGGTCACCAGCTGCATTACACAAGTCACACAGTGTAGTGTGAGCGGTCACCGTATGTGCTTGAGTTGAGTACCTGTTATCAAACTAACCTCAGGGAAAGTATGTTTTAAAACAGCTGTGACATTTTCAATGGGAGGATTTGGCCAGGGAAGCATCCTGTTCCAGTGATACCCCATAAAAGATTAGCGGTGTTTTGTTTTGCTCTGTTACAGAGGAGCTGTTAAAGAGAACGTATTGGAGCATCATTTGTGAGATCAGGGTTAAAAGCCACTGCTAAGGGCACCAGAGAGGGCTGGTTCCTACTCAGCCCAGTTCCTAACCAGTGTGATAAACTGAATCATATCTCACAAATGGCACTTTATGCTGCGCAGAATCTCTCTCCCCTGGCAAGAGTGTCAGAGCGAAAGTAATGGTTTTGGAGAAGGAAGTGTATTTTAGTTAAAGGGGCACTTTCACCGTACTTACTCTTTTCAAGTACTGCCTTAGTAGTTGCGTTTTGATAAACTACACCCTCTCCAGTGCATGGAGAAAGCAGTTGCTGTAAGGCCTGAGTACAAACAGTATGTGAGGGACGGATGTGTGGACATGGCCAGCGGTGTATGGCCGGACAAAGCGATCTGTAGCTTTTAATAGAAAGAGATGAGTCCCTCTGCCTTTGCTCCCTCAGTTCCCTGAGTTCCCATGGACGCAGTTGTGTGGCTGGGTCCAACTTCCAGCCCCGAGCAAGCAAGCAAGGGTGGGTCCGAATGGGAAACACACCTTTCTAATCGCTAGACCTCTCACTGATTTCCTGTTGAGTAATGTAAATCCTGAACAATGGAAGACAAACTCCAGCAGGAAACTAGGGGCAATGAATTATCAGATTCCAAATAAATATGTGAGTGAAGGAAATGATCATCCCACAATTTTAAGGGAGGGGGTGGCTGGGCATGGATGACTCCCATGCTTTTTTTTCCAAGGGATGTGAGCCCTCTTCCTATACATTGCATTATGTTTGAGAGTTTCTACCTTGGGGTCACTCCTCATGGAACAGTGATGACTTTTTTTTGCTTACTTCCACCCCGCCATTTTTCAGTGTGATGTGCTCTGATGCTTCCTGTTGGTATTAAGAAAATTTTGGGGGAAGAATGTCCTGTCCTGCTTTGTCAGTGGCCATGGTGCTTTGGGCTGGTGGTCTCCCTGATGGCCTCAGTTTCCCCTTTGGAATGATATCAGTCTCCCCCATAGCATCCATATAATTTGGGATTTATTCCCCAAAACTAAGAACATCTCTCAAATGAAGCCATTCATGGGTGTATCTTTATAATAGCAGAAATACTGGTTGGCCAGTAACCCCTTACACCTGATATAGGATGGCTCCAGTAAGATGCAGCAGTGTCAGGCTGGTCGTGCCGTGGTGAGGGGAATGTTTCCTGTTTGAATGGTGCTGCTGAATTTTTATGACCTAGTGTGAGAGCGGCATCTGCTTGCCCATGTTTTTATCTTTTAGCAGTAATTTTAGGAGCAGGAATCTCTAGCTCAATGGATGAAGAATATATATATTTTTTTTTTTTAGTAACTTGGGAATTACATATCTGGGTCACACAGAGACCTTGAGACAAATTACAGAGGTAGCACATGGTCTTGAAAGCTAAGGATTTGTGCATTCAGTGTCAGCATATATGCGTCTCTTTGAGGCTGTGTAACTTTGAATTCCTGCCTCAGTTCAGTCCTGGCCGTGGCAACCTACATACCTGCCACTCTTCTCCCCACCCAGTTCCTTTCATGCCTCTGCAGACATCTATAGGGGAATCCTGCTGCGTTGGACCTTGGGTCTGGGGACCATCTTTGCAACCAAAGCCACACATCTGTCACTCCATGGGCTCTTGCTGTCCGCGCTGTGTAACTTTGAATTCCTGCCTCAGTTCAGTCCTGGCCGTGGCAACCTACATACCTGCCACTCTTCTCCCCACCCAGTTCCTTTCATGCCTCTGCAGACATCTATAGGGGAATCCTGCTGCGTTGGACCTTGGGTCTGGGGACCATCTTTGCAACCAAAGCCACACATCTGTCACTCCATGGGCTCTTGCTGTCCGCATAGGCCCCTCCTGCAGCTTTTTCCCTAGAATATGGTTTCCTGTGCTGCCTGCCAGCTTCCTAGCTCCAGAAGGCAGCTGAGCACTGAGTTTTAGAGGTTTAAAGTCTTTGCACCTTCAGCAGCTAAGGAGCTTATGAAACTTTGTCCACAAAGACAGAGATTAATGTATTTCTTTTCCTTCTCATTTGGAGCTGCAGCTTTTAGATGTAAAGGCAAGAAGTGCCTTGTACTGTGGCTTTGAGGAAAAAGTCTTCAGGTATTTACAATATTGTCTTCCCCGCTGGCCTCCTTCCTGCCCGGGACCATGAAATGCCACCCCTGTGCTGTCCTCTCACAGCTCTTGGTGCACCCACACTATAAATTGGAGCAGGGATCTGACCTGGTTTAAAAACAAAAGTGAGCACAACCCACAGCTTTCTTTTTTTTTCCTGGCCAGGTTACTTTGGAGCTGGATCACTTCCCCAAACCACAGCTTTTAGAAACACTAGCCAGAGAATCAGATAGAAATTTGCTTTCAACAAAAACCATCAAGTTTGCAGAAAAGCTCCTTAGCTCAAGCCTGCCTAGAAGAGACCTGCTGATAAATGGTTCTCTTTTTGGCCTCAGCAGTTTATAAATGAATCACGAGGACAGATGTCTACAAAAAGACAGGTTAAAAAGGATTTCTGTGTGTATTTAAAATGAGAGTACCCCAGGATGCTGATCTGTCTCTATGACAACTGTCTGTGAGCTGAGCGGTGGCTTTTGTTGTGCCAGTGATTCTGCCTTTGCCAGCACACTTACACCTGGGTGCTCAAAACGTTGGCATTGACCAAAATTCATTGTGAGAACAACCCAAAGTGCATTTGCGTTAGACCAGTTAATGGCATTGAATTGTTTGCTAGAATAGCTTCTCTCCTTGTTTTCTGTGCAACAGATATTCAGCTTTGCAGGTGTGTGCAAAAAGGGAAGAAAAAAAGGATTAAAATGGCAAAGATGAGAATGTTACGCAAATTTAAGGGTTGAATTGCTAGTGAAATGGTCTCGCTTCTGCTTGTTCCCAGGCTGTGTGCTGTGCCACTGTCTCGTCATCTGAGCAAGGGTTGCTTTTCCCTGTGGGTCTCTTGTTTTGAGTAACTTAAAGATAGTTAAAATTGTATTCTTGTACCTCTGCACCATGCTGGAGACCTTACCTACAGTTCTGTCCAGTGGCTGCTGGCGGTAAGGAAATAAGGGATCTTTGAGAATAGCTTTGTTTAATTAAGGTTGGTGGGACTCCTGAAGTAATAGAGTATTGCTGCTGCAGGAAACAAGCACAAAGACTCCAAACACCAGAGCGTGCGCAGAATACCAGCTCCAACCACCCAGGTGTATGGGATACTGGATGTATTAACCAGCTCTGTATAGTTTT